GACAATTGGTAGAAAAGAAAATAACTCTCGAATAAGTATAATTGTTTATTTGTTTATCTAATTCTCACTATAATCGATAATCAATGAGAGTATAAGCAGTTCCAAATTTGACGCTGTGCAATTTTTCTCAATGATAGCTAGCTCATCAAATACTAGCGAATTTGGGGTCATGTTTAGGGGCTCGGGTGAGTCGAACCCAACTTCACGTTTCCTTTGAATAAATTTATATTAACCCAGCTTAGAAAATTAATCCAATTTAGATCCATCTCTAATCACATTTTATGGTAGTGGTTGGCAAATAACAAGACTAGCAAGTTAGATTAATAATATATAATGGCGTTACCAAATTGTAGTAAAGTTTAATTTTATCGATCAATCTAAAGAAAGAAAAGCTTAGAGACCAATATGAAATTTAGCTAAAAATTTAATGACCAAGTTAGTTCTGTGCCTACATAAATACTTTTCCCACACTTCACTCCGGTACTGTTTGAACTGAATTACAATTCAATTAGTAAACCTCAATTTTCTAAACGTAATAATTCTTCTGATCCTTTGCTTTACACTATGAATACCGAAAGAAAAACTGCAAGTATCCTCGGAGGCAAGACTGCCAAGGCTTGCGATAGCTGTTTACGACAAAGGGCTCGATGGTTTTGTGCGGCAGACGATGCTTATCTATGCCAAGGGTGCGATGCATCGGTTCATTCGGCTAACCGATTGGCGATTCGACACGAAAGGGTTCGACTTGAATCCTCATCCTGTAAGGGGAAAGGAAACGATGACTCGGGACCGGCTTGGTACCGGGGATTCACTCGTAAGGCTAGAACTCCGCGACAGGCCAAGTCGAGTCCAGCGCAACCTTCTCTTTTAGTACCGGAGATTAACAGTGAAGACACTTCTCTAGTGGAAAATGAGGACCAACTTCTTTATAGGGTTCCTGTTTTTGACCCTTTTGATGCTGAAGTTTTTACAGCATCAAATCGAACTGAGGATGAATTAGTCGATGTTTTGTTGGATGATGAAAAAGGATTCGATTTGGATATTAATCCAGAGTTTATTACATCTGATGCTGAGCTTGCAGAGTTTGCTGCTGATGTAGAGAGTTTACTGGGAACAGGAATTGAGGAGGATTCTCATGAGATTGAATTAGGGTTGGCAAGAATGGATTGTAAACAAGAAGATATAATTGATGTTCGTTTCGAAGAAAAACGGGTAAAGTTTGAGGACGATGACGATGAAATGAAAGCCGTTATTGCTTGTCATTTGGATCCGGCATTGGATATGGCTAGGAGAACATTCAACTGGAATTCTGATTATGCATCTCCATTATTACATGGAGAAGCAGATGAGGATAAAAAGGTTATCGGAACCGTGACGAAGATGATTGATTGTCAAAGTGAAGAAGAAGTTAGTAGGAAAATGTTTTTGAGGCTCGACCATGAAGCAGTTATCGCTGCTTGGGCTAGCCAAGGTTCTCCATGGACGAATGGTATTCGACCCGAGTTCTTCAACCTCAATGACTTCTTGGTAAGCTAGTTCTACTTAACCATCTCATCTAAAAGCTTAAATTGTATAATACTAGAAACACCACTTCGTCTGCCATCTTCTTGTACCCTAATTTTTGCATGCTTTCTTGTGAATGAATGCAATTGAATTATGCAAAATGATGGATATATGTAGATTTGAAAAAGGAAATTGGTTTAACTGAATTGATGGTTTTGATCAGATTGTGATTAACAACTTTCGATCAATGTAAATCTTTAGGATACCTTCCCATGGGGAGGCAGCCTTATTCCGTACGAAGGACTTAGGGGACGGTTGGGTGACAGTGATGCTGGAAGAAGAGCAATAGTATCGAGGTACCGGGAAAAGAGACGAAAAAGATTGTTCTCAAAGAAGATTCGATATGAAGTTAGGAAATTGAATGCAGATAAGAGACCTCGAATGAAAGGTCGATTTGTAAAACGAACAATTTTCCTACCTAATGCGTGATGAATAAAGGATGAATAACACATTACACAGCCAAGTTCCTAGCTTAGGAATTTGGATTTGTTCATGTATGGTGAATGATGTAATAATTTATTGAAGGAAACTGTATATTATATTTAAGATGACTTTCATCAGCATGTCTACCCACTTTTTTTTTTTTTTTTTTTTTTTTTTAATTAACCTTTCATCAATTAACACAGGCGGTCCTATTTCAGTGTAAATTATATGTTAATATGGCGTAGAATGATGAGTTTACAATCAAATTAAAATAAACAAAAAAAAGTAAGTAACTAAAAAAACAAAAATGAAAAAATGAAAGAATGATTATGTGTTTTAACACTCTTATCAATGTTACCATATTGAACTTGATAAATAACTGCTAATTGAGCAGATTTTTACCTAATTTCTCTAAATATGAAAATTGTATGCAAAATCTGGATTTGAAGGATTTTGGAGCAAAAAAGAATGATTTTGACCTATTGGAGTTTGTTCGATGGAATTTAAGACTAACTAGATGGCATGGGATTGATAAGAAGTATTAAGAGAATAAATAATTCAATTTTGCTACAGGAATAGACTCGATGACATATTTTTACACATAAATTCACTTAGCAATCGTCCATTGACAGCTAAAAAAGAGTTAAACAAAAAACTATCAATCAAAAAGGGCCAAATTAGTCTGTAAAAAAATTGCCTGTCATTGAACCTGTTCAGACAACATTATTCTAATTAAGTTACACACTTTTGAAATTGGGTTATACACATTGTGTAATCCGAATTAGGAGAAGGGGGAGCCGTTGAGTGAAAATTGAAAAAAGATGCCTGCAGGCGGGTATGCCGGGCTACCCAGTCCTATGAGAGAAGGCTTGCCCTAGTGCTGTCATGTGCCCTAACTGGTCCTGAATGGGACGCACATAAATATGGGGGAAAATTACCTCAAAACCTTCTTTTAAACTTTATATTTCATAAGCTTCGTGTTAAGAATTTGTTTTCAAAAATTAAGTTTATTCATAACCTTCACAACCTCTTCCCACGCATCCACCCACTCGCCCAGTGGTGCAAAGGATAGGAGTGAGGTTATCTCACGCCTTGCTGGCAATCGCAGTGTGGGAGTTCAATTCCTGAGACATGGAATTGGACTCCTTATAGGCGCAGTGTACAGACAGCTCTTGTTCCCTGGCCTATTGGGGCACATCCCGCGATTTACATCTCTCACAAAGCTCTAGGGGCAAAACAGTGAGGACCCTCAAGATTGAGGTTCAACCTTTAAGAAGCCCATATTTTTCCTGTCAATTTCCCTCTTCATTCACTTTCTCTTTTTCAGGATTTCTTCAA